GAGTGATCAGGCATTGGAATGTGCTGCCCAGGGAGGTGGTGGATTCACCATCCCTGGAGGTTTTCAAGCTGAGACTGGATGTGGCACTTAGTGCCATGGTCTAGTGACCACAGTAGGGTTGAACTGGATGATCCTGGAGGTCTCTTCCAACCCAGTTAATTCTGTGATTCTGATGATTGCACTCGATTTCCCTAAGTATTTAAATCCTATATTTTTCATAAACTTCTGCATGGATCCTCCATGTATTACGTAAATTCCTCACGGGAAAAACACAGGTTTTCACTTCCCATGGACAAAAAGTTGCTAACATCAGAGCCATACCTGGATTGCTCCAGCCACCTTCCATCACTGCCTGAAGTGTTAGGGTGAATTGTTAGAGCCTGTCCTTAGGAGATGTTCTAGTGATGTGCATTTGACTTCTAGGGCTCCTGGAGTCCATTTACTGCCAGAGCTGCCCCAAGATGATCTCCATGCTGCCATGAAGAGATGCTTTGCCGTGGTGAACAGTTCCATTTCAGAAGGAATGTCTGCTGCAATTCTGGAGGTAATTGAATCTTAGTGCTAAGGTGGTTCCAGTGACCTGAAATCACCTTTTAGCACTGGCAATGTGTATCAACATTTGACATCCATGTTTTAAAGCCATTGAAGACAAAGCTAAGATAATTCTTTTTGAAAGTGTTAGTCATTAAGGTTTTCTTCCCTTGAACTTGCTTTGTCTGTTCATTTTGAAAGGACAGCATGTAATTTTCTCAATCCTTTTAAATTAACAACACAGACCTGAGAGGTGGAAATCACTCTGCTTTACTAGGGTAGTCACTATTCTTGATTCAACAACCACTTCCTTATAATGTTGCTAGAATGGACTTGCATTTATTTTTACATCCTTTCAAAAAGGAATCTAAGAGCTGTGTTTGGCTATTTAATTTTGAAATCATTAATGAATGAATGACATGCTCAGTTAATTTTTTTGCCATCAGTATTGAAAATTAATAACCAGTTTTATTTCATACCTGTCAAAGGAGGGAACTGCTTAGTATTAAATGCTTTCTTGGAAAAAAAAGAAGTGTACTTAAAGTGGAAGCTTTTTTGGCAGACACCTTTTACTATTGCATTTATTTATTCTGCTCAATGTTTGTTCATCTTGAGCTCAGAATATCACAGAGACCATTACAACATCTGTGTTAATGAACCTCCTCTTTCAGTTTCTAACCAGTGATCCCATGGGGCATTTCCCACTTGCTTTCCTTCCACACATCTCAAAGTCCTCACAAGTAAGAACTAAGTGAGCACTGGTCCTTCCACACATCTCAAAGTCCTCACAATTAAGAACTAAGTGAGCATTGGAAGAGTTAGGAAAGTCAGATGATGGTGAGATAGCAAATGTGTATTTCCTTTCTGAAATACCAGTACTCAGAGGTGGAAGCAGATGGTTTTTCACAGCAACAATACTCTGTAACAGCCATTACTAAAGTGGGACATTTCCAAACTTACCAATGTGACAGCCTAGACAAATTCTGTGTGTTTGGGAGTTGAGATGAAATGGAGTGTACCAAGCCAGGGCACAGCCACAACCGAGTCAGTGACTCACAGAAGTAAAAATTAAGTAACTCTCACCTCCTCCTCACCAGTTACATGTTCCCCTCGGGACTACTCACGTAACAGTTGTCCAAAAATCAACCTGATTTATTTCCCAAGGATGTCACCTAGACAAATTCTGTGTGTTTGGGAGTTGAGATGAAATGGAGTGTACCAAGCCAGGGCACAGCCACAACCGAGTCAGTGACTCACAGAAGTAAAAATTAAGTAACTCTCACCTCCTCCTCACCAGTTACATGTTCCCCTCGGGACTACTCACGTAACAGTTGTCCAAAAATCAACCTGATTTATTTCCCAAGGATGTCAGAGAGGGAGAAACCCAAACCTTTGAGTGTGAAGAGACATAGCACCTGCACCAGAAGAGCATGTGTGCTTGGTCTGATACAAATTGTGATGCAAACTCATAGGACTGACAGGACAATAGGTCTAATTTTTCCTCCAAATTTTGCCATCAGCTCTGAGCAGTTAAAAGACACTTTTTGGAGCTTTTATCAGGAGAGGGAGCAATTGTAAGCTCAGTGTCTTAACAATATGTGGTAACTCAAAGCAAAAAAAGATAATGTCAGTTTACTTCACAAGTGATGCTGAGCTGCTTTGGGGCTTATTGATTTTGGCTCTCCTCTTTTGAAGTTGCAATTCTGACAAGTTTGGAATCTGATAACTCGAAGCTTAAATCAATAGGAAATTTTTTCTTGGAGCTTTGCTCTCTGTGGCTGAACTATTCAATTACCCTAGAAGGGTTATTAAAGAGTCAAATACTACTAATGGCAAAGCTGCTCCTGAAAGTTTCCACCCCACAGTTATGTTGAGGAATTTATTCCCAATTCTTACTCAAATCTCTAAAAAGAAAAACAAACAAACAAGCAAAAACCCTCCAATAACTCATTGAAAATTGCCACATCGACAGAATAGTATTTCCTGTTATATTTTTAGTTTCTCTCTTAGAATTAATTACAAGACTTTTTTGGCAAAAGAGCATTTTGTGCTGGTTGCCTTTATATACCCTTGCAAAGTTAGGTTCTTCCATTTGGATGGTTTTCTTATATCAGAAAAAAAGTATTTATTAGGATTAGGAAGGTGTCATTTAAATTTTCATGCTGATTTAATTATGAGATTATTATACATATTTTATATATATATAT